CGTCCATATCTACTAAAAGCTGAACCTATACATACTACATTACCCAGTGATTCCACTACCAGTGTTTGCCGAGCAACCCTCTCTCAAGTGCAGTCTTCCAGTTCTGTCCCCTTGTATGTGGATATCCAGTGTGTCTGAGGGTCCAGGAGAGCAGTGCCTCATCGTGGTCATTCTCTGTCCAGGGCACCATGTCCTAGGACTTGGAAAGCTGCAAGCCCTCCTGCTGACCAAACAGTTCTGCCTTCCTTACTATCCTAACCGGGGCTGAGCCAAGTTGAGTTTCTCACAGACTTGGGAGGCAGCGAGCTGCTGCCTGGTGTGTGCTGTATTTTGTAACTGAGGCCCCAAAGAGGTTCTGCTTATGTCCGTCTCACAAAACCACTTAGCTTTTAAAATACCCCTCCCTCTGGCCCTGTCTCCAAGACCAAGACCACAGACCCCATGCTGTGTCTTTCCCCCTAGTCATCTGCCTTCACCTTCATTTAAGTGCAAACAGATGCCTGCAGGCTACTGGGGACCCTGATCGTCAGACACTGAGGTTCTAGGTCTCGCTTTAGGCCCACTGGGATCCCCCTACATGGTGCACCTGTTGGGAATGCTCTGGAATGCCAGTGACAAAAATCCCAACCAACAGCACCTTAAATCCATAGGCATGTGCTTTTCCTTTTAGAAATCTAGAGGTAGGTAGAGGCTAGTATTGGTTCAACTGCTCAGTTGAGTCTTTACAGAGCCAGGTATTTTTATTTCTGTTCACTCTGAAATCCTTACTTGTTGGGTTTTTGTTCGTGTCTATGGATTAAAAAGGCTACTGAAGCTCAACATGTCACAACCATGTTCAAGGCAGAAACAAGGGGAAGAGATAGTATAGCTTACTCTTTTTTCTCACCTGGGTTTTTCATCAGGAGAGAAATTCTTCTATACCACAACCCTCATCCTCATCAAACTTTCTTTTTCCTCTTGGGCCAGAACGGAGTCACACACAAAGGACCCTGGAAAGTGAATGTTTGGTAACTCAGAGTAGCTTTTGCATAGCTAAACAACAGTGCTAACGGGTAGGCATACAGAATAACAAACAGAAATGGTGTTAACCCACCTACGCACTCTGAATACCCAAAGTTGGATTTACCTGTTCAGCTTGTCTTTCTCTGGCAACAGATATGTACTTAACTAATCTTCCCCATGCAGCCTTTGAAATTACTTGCTTGATTTTTCTGTGTTTGCAATCAAAATGAGGTTTTCCTTTGGTAAATATAATGATTTCCTAATAAAAGTGCCAAATTATTTCACTGAGTGGTGACTTCAGTCTCTCCTCCCTGCTACTTGTTTGAACATCAGAGTTAATTCCCCCAATGTCATTCTAGACAGTTTGATGGACGAAAGGAAGGAGAAGCCTCTGCTCAATCAAGTATCTAATTAATGCAGGTGCAGTATGCAAATTGCTGACTTTCTAAAAATTCAAATAAGATAAAACATGCTTACAGCTGCTTGCACAGTGTCTAATCCCTTTTTCTAAATCTCTTCACATTTTCCCAAACACTACCTCTTACGTGTCATAAAATGCTATTTCTTCAAGACTGTTTCTTTTTTCCTTCTTTCCTTCACCCACGTTGCTCTCCTCTGACTTCAGTGCTCCTCTGCCACTCTTTGCTGACTGTCTTATGCCGACGAGGCACATATCCAGCAGCGAGAATGACAGGTTGCTGAACGTGTACACAAGTATTTAGTCTAATCCCAATACAGCCCTGATCTGGACATGGCACCTCCTCGTGAACAAGAGACTTCTATATACGTGGTGTTTTTACAGCCTAGTTGTTTCAGCATCTCTGAGTATTTCCAATTCTCTTTCATGATGCCTTTCTAACAAATATCGCGTGCCAGGAATTCGGGATTATTCTTCCCAATGTAGTCTAGGGAGTTAGACTGACAAGTTGCTTCTGTTTTTGTATCTACCTGTACTTCCTGTGTGCAGATACGCAGAGAGAATGGAAGATTGTTGCTGTTTAATGATTCCTTCAGTCAGAACATTCTGTGACCCTGCGCGCAGCTCTCAGTATGTCCGAGGGGTAATGTAGTAAAAAGCTAAATGCTGACGGGAAAATCAAGAGAGAAGAGATTGCTTAGAAAATGCAGGATGTGCTAATTAAGAGGAAGAACCTGCACATGGGGTTTTAGGACGCAGAGAGCAAAGAAAATGTGACTTTTAAGGTCAGACTCTGAGAGACGGTGAGCCCAACACATGAGTCAGGTGGCCATTGATCAGAGTTCCAAAACCAAGGTTTTTGGCTGCCGCCTAGCATCATTTTCTGCACCGAAGTCACCAAACCTGAGCTCAAGTCTGGAAGGCAGAGGGCAAAGGAAACGGCCATGAGAAGGGACCCCATTAAAGACGCTGCACGGCTGGTGCGGAGGGACTGCTGGTACTTGCAGTCTCTCCAAAATTTTTGTTTTCACAGACCTGGTTTCATTGGAACCTTAATTTTTTTGTTTTTGCAAAATGCATTGCTTGTTTGCATTTTTAAAAAATGACATTGTTGACATATAATTCACATACCACATAATTCATTCACATAAAGTTTAGAATGCAATGGTTTTTTAATATCTTACATTGTGTCTCCATTTAAATTGTGGTAAAATATATCTAACATATAATTTGCCACTGCAACTATTGTTTAAATTCTCATCTGAGGAATTTTTTCATTGCTTTGAGAGACGCAGGGGGAGAGACAGAGAGGGACGGAGAATTGATTCATTGCCTCTCATAGGCTCCCTGTCTGGGGATCAAACCCTAAGTATGTTTCCTGACTAGGAATTGAACCCACAATCTTTCAGTGCACAGGATGACACCCCAACCAACCAGGCCACCTAGCCAGGGCCATTTTTAAGTGTATAATTCAATGGCATGGGCTATATTCACGATGCTGTAGAACTGCCACCACAACCTATTTCTAAAACTTTATCACCCAATAGTATGTTTTCATCACTTTAAAAGATGCCTTCTTCGTGTGGGCAAACTGAGAAGAGATGCTGCTCCCACTGGGCTGTCAAAACCCAGGCCTGAGTATATTTGGTGGTGAACAGAGCGTGTCAGAAACTGAGCCCCTACAGACCCCTCAGTCCAGCACCATGTGCACCACACAGACATCTACAACCTTTACAGCAGCCCTATGGCTACTGCCACCTCAGCGTGAGTGCCCAGACAGAGCCAGGGCTTGTCCTCTGAGAGCAGAGGCAGCTGAGGGGAGGGGGAGGAGCACAGGCATCTGCTTGCTTGCTCCTTGCTGTGCAGTGATCCTGAGGCCGGCCTTGGGCTGTGTGCAGGCCTGTGCCTCCTGAACAGGACCACTTCCTGCCTTAACTTCCCGCCCAGAGGACCAAGGGACTCAGTCTACCTCCAAGAGTCCCTGATTCTCCTAACTCTAGTGGCAGCTTGGGGATCTGTGTAGATGTACAGAGTGGATGAGACTGAAGAAAGAGGCGCTCATGGAGATAAAAAGAGGGCCGAGGAAGGCTACTCTCTCAGGTGACAAATCTGTTCCTACTCCTTCAAATCAGTTTCTGGGTGACCATAACAAGTTCTCTAGGGCCCTACTCGTCTGAAGGCTCTAAGGGAAAAATCCTTCCTCATGTCGGTTAGCTTCTGGTGGTTCCAGCGTTCCTTGTCATTTGATCTGGGGGCCATTTAATTTGTTGACACTTGGGATAATCCAGAATGATCTCCTCCTGAGATCCTTAATTTAATTAAATCTGCAAAGACCCCCTTTCCAAATAAGGTCACAATAACAGCTTCTGGGGATTAGGACAGAGACATGTGTCCCCCTGGGGGGTTATCATTCAGCCCACCACCTCCCCCACTACCCTTGGCTGACAGCAGTGGAGAAGAAACTCTTTGATCCACCAGGGCCGAGACTGAGTGCCATGTCACCTCTGTTAACAGTGGTGGCAGAACCATGCTCCAAAGCTGGTGTCAAACAGGCCATTCCCGAGTGATGCAACCACTTCCATTTCAGGTCAACATCACATGACACAATCTAAGGACAGGTAACGGACTTCCTATTGGGGGTGTACTCACATGCCAGGACACCTGATGTTCTGGTTAGCCATCTAGTGATGGTGCTGTGTAAAACTGACTCATCTCCTCAGGTGGAAGCTAGGGACAGCATGAACTTGGGCAGAGTTCATGGCTCGTTGAGCTACTTCACTCTTTGATCACTAACAGCTGAGACGCCGGTGGGGGAAATGCTCTTTTTAAACAGATCTTTCTTTTCCTCAGAGCTGATGTAGAAATAGACCCTTAAGTCAGATACCTTGGGTGGAGTAGGCAGGGCCTTCCTCTGAGGCTTCCAGAGATATTTTCTGCCCACCTCTCCCATCCTTTACTTCAGTGAGGCAGGAACTGAGACTGAGCCTACTTTGGCGTTCAGAGCTTGAAGAATTGCAGGCCCAGAAAAGGGGTGGGGAGAATTCTCGTTGTTGTTTTTTTTCCCTAGATGTTTTCTGTGAAGAGAATTTGACAACTTCTTCACCTTAACTCCCATCTAGCTTTTTCCCTTTTCTAAGGATTTACTTCTAGATAAGCACTATCCAAATAAAAAAGAATTACAGCCCTGGCCTCATACACCAAGGTTGCAGGTTTGAACCCTGGTCAGGACACTTACAAGAGCCAACCAATGAATGCATATCTAAGTGGAACAACAAATCAACATCTCTCTCTCTCTATCTCTCTCTATTAGTAAATTAAAAAATTTAAAAAAAGAATCACAGAGTATGGCTGAAGGGTTTACTATAGGTGGTTAGGGGTTATACCTTAGATGGATATGTGGTCAACCCTTGAACAACATGGATTTGAACTGCACAGGTCCACTTACGCATAGATGTTTTTCAATAAATATGTGCAGTACTGTAAATGCATTTTCTTTTTTTGTAATTTTAAGAGTAACATTTTTCTTGTCTTTAGCTTACTTTATTGTGGGAATACAGTATATAATATATAAACATATCAAATGACTGTTTCTTACCCACTCACTGGCGAGAACCCCCTGCAGGTCCTGGTGAACGCCATCATCAAGAGTGGCCCCCAGGAGGACTCAGTCCGACTTGGACAAGCTGGAACAGTGAGGCGACAGGCCATGGATGTGTTCCCTCGGCGCCGGGTGAATCAGGCCATTTGGCTTCTGTGCACAGGTGCCCGTGAGGCTGCCTTCCAGAACATCAAGACCATTGCTGAGTGCCTGGCAGATGAGCTCATCAATGCAGCCAAGGGCTCCTCCAACTCCTACGCTATCAAGAAGAAAGACGAGCTGGAGCATGTGGCCAAGTCCAACCGTTGATCACTGGCTTCAGCCCCAATAAATCTGTTTGCCCCTTGGGCAGCACCACCAAAAAAAAAAAAAAAAGAATGACAAGACTAATTTGGAGCCTTAGACCATGGTCCACAGGGAAGGTGGGGCCGGTGAAAGGGTGGGATTGTCTAGCAGACAGCATCAAGGCTCTGCAGCTCTGGTCTGGTCTGCGTGTGAACGCTGGTAGAGCCTGTGAGAGCAGAGTGATGCCTTTGCAATGAATGGAAGTATGTGGAATTAACTATTTCCATCCTTGCTTCTAAATAGCTTGGTAGGATTCAGTGTGTACTTAATACATTTAACCTAGAAATGAAGGTCTCTCTGGCATAAATCCCTGCCTCAAATGGCTTTCACAAAATGTGTGAGTAAGATGCAAGATTAAACAAGAAAACCAACATTAATTAAGAACCAAGTATGTGTCAGGCACTGTGTTAAGGGTGTGTGTGTATGTGTGTGTACACATACCATCTCATGTCATCCTTGTAGTGAATCTCTGAAGTAGTTATTGTTACGCATGAGGAAAGTGAGGATCAGAGTTCCAGTGATTTGCCCAAGGCCATACAAAGTCATGGGCCTACATTCAAACCTGGGTCAGCTTCACTCAAGGCCCATTCATTCCATAAGCATTTTCTGCATGTCAACTCTAAGCCTGTTGCTGGTTTTCTTCCCCACAGAGTAGGAAGCTGACCTGCCTTCTTGGGTGTTCTTTCCTTTTCCTATATTCCTGTGGCTGGGTGTGATTGAGCTGGTTTTTCCCCAGACTACACTCTTGGGAAGATTCCACTCTGACTCATGTTGACTCTACTTTATTTAGAGCTTGCAGCTGCTTGTGGCTTTGCCTCCTGCCCCTCTAGCAGGCGGCATGTTGCTTTTGATTAAGGCAGCCACTCCTCTGGGGATAGCCCAAGGCAGGGCGGTACGTGCTGATGTCCCAACGTGAACAGAACTCAGTGGTGGGGGTGTGGAGTGTGATTTCTCAGCATGTTCTGCCCACACTCAAATCAGCTTTACGAGAGCTGCCTGGAGATCTGAATCACTCCGGTCCCCCGTGTCTTTCCTGCTCAGAAGAAGGTAGACTAGAATATCTTAAGTTTTAGGGAAATACATTTGTTTTACTTTTTTAAATCCTCATCCGATGATATGTTTATTGGCCTAAAAGAGAGAGGAATGGGGAGAGAGAAAGAGAGAGAGGGCAAAAGAGAGACATCAATGTGAGAGAGAAACATTGACTGGTTGCCTCCCGTATGTGCCCTAACCAGGGATTGAACCTGCAACCTGCTGGTGTATGGGGACGGTGCTTTAACCAACTGAGCCACCCAGCAAGGATTAAGAAAATGTATTTGAATGTCAAAGCTGCCCACCTCCTCACCATGCAGTCAGGCTCCCCACTGCCCTTTGCTCAGCAAATTTGGAGCAAGTTCTTTTGGAACAGCCTACTGATAATATTGCCAACCGTCCATTTCTGAGACTGGAGAATGGCATTAGGTCACAGAGTGACAAAATAGACACAGTAATTAGAGGAAGGCAGGTACAGGGCAAGAGGAGAGACTAGTAATCAAAAGTCTACATGGTATCTACGGGCCTTCTAAGATGTCATGCACCAAACTTGTTGAAGAGCTTCTCTTCCTTTCCATTGCATACTAGGGTGTTTAGGGTTGAAGGCACACTGTCTCATCACAAGGGGTCTTAAATAGTAGGTCAAGTTTCCGAGTTATTCTAGGCAACCTCAGTCTTGTAATTAAAGCATTAAGCTGGATTTCTGGTCCTTAAAAAACTTTTTTTCCTGCTTAGTAGGTGATAAGAATCATTAAAGTCTTGGGCAGAATCATCCCCCATTCAGCCAGTGGTGATAAAAACTCAGAGTCTGGAGACCAGGGAATCTGGCCACTACTTAGGTGCTGGGAATGTGGTCACTGCTCTACACCTGAGCTTGAACATCTTGGGCACAGCAGTGACAACACTTTCTTCTCAGGGAGGTGACAACAGGCCTAGCGTGGCCCACTGGACTCTAACCCTGAGGACACTGCTCCCTTGTTTTTGCTGCAATCCTACCCCTAACATGATAAGGGCTTGTCCAGTACATTTGTCCGGTGGATCCTTCTTGACCTGCCATCCTTCCTCCTCCCTCTAGTCTTTCTTCACATCCTATCTATAGAATCAGGACTGGAATTTGCATAGACCTGTCCAATCTATGTCACTTCTCCGTGTGTTGTGGAAATAGCCACTTCCGAAGAAAAATTTACCTTTACATAAAGCCACACTATGTGATTAGAAAGTCAGGAGCCAAAATGAAAAAAAGGGGAAGAAAGTTGAAAGACTCCAAGGGTGGGAAGAGAAAGTGAGGGAGAATGAAAGAGCAAGACTGAGCCCCACCCTAAAAGGGATTAGAACACCTGCAGCTTTATTGAAGCCTGCCAAATACCTCTTGTGCCGCTGAATGGTAAATGGGATAGAACAATGAGCTGGAATTCACAGTGCCTTTGAAAAGCAACTGCTGTCAGTCAGCAAGCACTCAGAATGTGGTAACTATTGCTTTCAGCCCAGAGCCTGTTCTGGCCCACGTGGCCCCATGACAGCTGATAGAAGACAACGAACCCTACACAGTGGTGACCTCTAGCTCTGATCCATGTGCACTCTGTGTGCTTAAAAAGGTTGTGAATATTTCTAGAAGGAAGATGAACACTGGGTATATATTTTATGAATTATATTGCAATAGGGTGCACATTTCATGGCCAGGTTTAGCCATCATGGCCACATGTATCTGTAGGTCTCAATCAAATTTCTCGGAGATATAAATGAGATGTTTATGACTATACCATTGCTGAGCCTATACTTTAGCAGTAAGTGCTCTTTTAACTAATTTTAGTATCTTTCTGATTTTATTTTTGGTATCTTTGTAATTTTATTAGAAGGCAATAGTGCTGCCTTCTAATCTCTAGGCTCCATCACAACTTCCCTCCCCACGATAAATGAATTCCCCTCTCTTGTCTTCTATTCTTTTCTTGGTTCAGTTCAACCTCCTTGATTATTCCAGATTTGCCTTTCTTTCCCCAAACCCAATCACGTCATTTCCATTTCATAACCTCCACTGGGCTGCACTTTACACTAGACAAAACTGAGAAGTATTTAGCCAGTCAGATGAAGCGATATGAAGTGAGTGGAGCCCACACTGGGGACAGGGCTGAGAGGCTGACCTGGCCACTGCTTATGGATGGGTCACTTTATGATTCATTCAGACAGAAAATTTTATTAAGCACCTGTTATGTACAGACAGTGGTCTAGGCATTAGAGATGCTGTGCTGAACACAAAACCCACCCTGGCCCTTCTGGAACATATTTTGCTGGGGATCAGTATCAGGGTCCTCCTGGGAAAGGCACCCGAGCCAGAAGCTTGGAGAGGATGGGCCCATGTGGTGTCAGGGACAGAGGTGAGGAAGGCTCCTGCTGATGAAACACGGGTGCCTCCTTGCTTGTTGAGGTTGGTTTTAGGGGCTGTCAGAGAGGGAGTGTGAAGAATAGGGCACTAGAAGATGCCAAGGGTGTCTCTAGAAATCTCTGGCTGCCTAGGCTCCCAAGCTGGATAGCTTGACAGATGGTCTGGCCTGGCTTTTACCTCAGAGCTTAAACTTACCTGTGTCAGGGTTGGGTCAAAGGTGTTGCTATGATAACCACTTGAGAAACAACCAGAACAGCTTTTAAAGTAGGTCCTCTGCCCAGGTATTACCAGCTTGTCTCCTCATTAGAAGGCTGCATTGCCTGAGACATTCCCCTAATGATTGACTTCAAGATCTCACCCTCAGTAGGCACCTTGTCACTTTTGAGGGAACTTTTGGCCACCTTTGGGTCTGTGCTCCCAGTTCTTTCAGCTGAATGGCCTCAGCATCCAAGGATGCTCTTAGGCTTCAGAAACTCAAAATCTGCAGACTTGGGCTCCGTGCTCATCTCAGCAGTAGCCAGCCTGAAAAGGCCCGCAAGTATCGGTGAGGCCCAGGACTGTCTCCTGTTTGCTTTCGGCATCTGGTAGTAAAACTGGGGAGGGTGGGGTGATGAGGGAATATTGTCTGACCCCACTATGATACAGGCATTCCAGGGCTCCAGAGAACTAAAGGTCTGCAACCCACTGTGGGTTCTTGACTTCATGCAGCAAAGAATTCAAATGTGAGCCAGCATGGAATTTAAGGTGAAAGAGAGTTTGGTAGTGAAGCAGTGAGGCAGAGAGTGGCTGCACTCTCTGTGGGCAGAGCAGCCCCTTCCCAGGGGACTTACTGCTTTTATTGAGGCTCCTTTAATGGAAGGGTGGGGCCTTCAATAAGCGGGAGAAATATTTCAGATTTTTCCTGGAAAAGGGTAGAGACTTCCCATTAGACATTTTGTGTTCTTATATGTTTTTTTTTTTATTCCAATAGTGTTTGGGGTGTGTTGTTTAGTATACTAACGTATTACAGTGAGTGTATTATGAAGTTAGGGGTTACTGCAAGGTGAAATTAGTCGCCATGTAGGACTGAGCTAGTCTGCCGGTTCTAAGCCATGAGTTTGTTGGGGGTTGGTCTTACTTTTCCTGGACAGTCCTTGAAGCCCTTACCAGTTACAGCCCTTTCCTCACATACCCTATCTCAGTAAGAAGGTTTTGACAGTGTGGCTGAGTTAGGAGCTGTCATAGAATCCTGGCCTGGACTGGAAGGGCCCTGTGGGGATCACAGACCCAAACATGGGGCTGCTGGCCAAGCCAGGCCAGACTGAAAGCTCAGAGAGGGTGTGAGTAGAAAGTGGAACATGGAGGAATATTGAGTGGAGAGAACACAATTACTCACCTTTTTAATGGGACACTGAGCCTATGCTGTGGCTGAGGAAGAGGTGTCACCTGTCCAGGTAATATGCCTAGTCACTCTAGTCTGAAGGGGACGAGCAAGACTATTGCTTTCCCCCCCCTGTTACGGACTGAACTGTGTCTCCCAAAATTCACATGTTGAAACCCTAACCCCACAATGTGACTATGTTTGGAGACAGGGCCTGTGAGGAGGTAATGGAGGTTAAGTGAGGTTATAAGGGTGGAACCCTGATCTGA